TGAGGGGAAGGCCCTTTTTGCTGCCTGTGCTTATAAAGGCCGAATGATGTGAGCTAGAGAAATATTTCCTGTACTCGGAACAAACGAAGGGAGTTTGTCTTTGCAAGGTGAGGCTGGCGTGGTTGTAGGAAGCAAGACAGGTCGAGGTAGAGCTGGAACCCCCAGGGATGCCCGGCTGGGGTGTGAGGGACAGCAGCCCCACGCACTGCATGCTTCAGACGTCTCTGCAGGTGGAGAACACGTGATAACCTCTTCCAAGCATGGCCAGGGCTGGAGGCTGGCTGCTGGGTGACCTGTACGGCAGGTTTTTTCAGCCAGGTAAGCCGCAGCCTCGCCACATTCGAGTTGTGCTAAGCCAAGGGCGGTTGCTAGGTCTCTTGCACTCTTCATCATCTCTTGATTTCTCTAGCGGAGCATGAGCTTTGCTGGACCAGGCTTGGGGCAGACCTGCTGGAGAGCAGCTCTGCGGAGAGGGACTGGGAGTGCGGGGGGACAACAGGCTGACCATGAGCCAGCAGTGTGCCCTGGCTGCCAAGAAGGCCAATGGGATCCTGGGGTGCATCAAGAGGAGTGTGGGCAGCAGGTCGAGGGAGGTTCTTCTTCCCCTCTACGCTGCCTAATGAGGCCCCATGTGGAGTATTCTGTCCAGTTCTGGGCTCTCCACTTCAAGAAAGATGAGGAGCCACTGGAGAGAGTCCAGTGGAGGGCTGCGAGGATGAGGAGGGGACTGGAGCATCTCCCCTACGAGGAGAGGCTGAGGGAGCTGGGCTTGTTCAGCCTGGAGAAGAGAAGACTGCGAGGGGACCTTAGAAATGTTTATAAATATCTCAAGGGTAGGTGTCAGGACGATGGGGCCAAACTCTTTCCAGTGGTGCCCAGCGACAGGACAAGGGGCAACGGACACAAACTGAAGCAGAGGAAGCTCCAGCTGAACCCGAGGAAGAACTTCTTCCCTCTGAGGGTGACGAAGCCCTGGCCCAGGCTGCCCAGGGAGGCTGTGGAGTCTCCTTCTCTGGAGATATTCCAGCCCCGCCTGGACAAGGTCCTGTGCAGCCTGCTCTGGGTGACCCTGCTTGGGCAGGGGGTTGGGCTGGGTGACCCACAGAGGTCCCTGCCAACCCCTACCATTCTGTGACTCTGTGATTCTGTGTCAGCATCGCCTCTGGAAGTGGCGTGGTTGGGTGGTGGCAGGCTTAGGATGTTTGTCCGGCATTGGAGCAAGCGGTTGCGGTGACGGGGCAGGTGTGCCAAGCCCAGGCAGACAGCCTCCATGTCTCATAGCTCTCGCGTCTCCAAAGGCAATGTCTGCTCTTCGTGTGCTCTGAAACACTGCCCGGCTTTCTTGTTCTGCTGAAGTTCGCAAGTCAAGGTCTTAATGTTGTGTTGTTAAATTTTCAGCGTCTCCATCCGCGCCAGAAAGCTCTTCTGTTCAGAGGGATTTAGGATAATGCAGCTTCTCAGGAGTCCTCATTATTTCTCAAAAGGTGACGGTGTTGTTCAAGTGTCCACATTGTGACAAGCGTCTAATTATGGATCCTTTCTGTAGACCCCCAGAGATGCCAGTATGTCCACCTGCAGTAGAAGGTGAAAGATTATAATTTGCATTCAGCAAGAGCTTTTCTCCATTATTCCCACCATACATAAACAAGGAAAACAAATCTGATCGACCTCTGATTCTCTTTTAATTTATCTTAAATTACATTTCTTAAAACAGCAGTTTTGCTTTGCTTCTTTTCCTCAGACTGCTGTTGTTTGCTACTTCAGATCTACCCTGTGTGCTCTAGTCCAGCCTAACTGAATGTCCACCTTCATTGGGCAATTGGCAAAAATTTCTTGGCTAAAAGGGCTTTTCATCCTTGGAAAAGAAAAGCATGGTTGGAAGGGATGGCACACCCAAAGATAAAAGCTTGATCAATACCTGGAAGATTGGTATATATTCACAGGATTTTCCTTTTTAACGCACTTTTCCCGTCTTTTCACTGCATTTTGGATGACTGAAATTCCCAGAGTTCTAGGTCAAAATGCCTCTCCATCCGTCTCTATTTACACTTGTAGATAAGAACAGTTTTGAGGAGAAAATACCAAAATACAGCGTGCATTTTGGCACAGGCTTCTCATACCTGAATTAAAGGAGGTGAGTAATGAATGCATACCCTGCCCATAGGTTGACAGGAGAAGGCAAACCATGTCTTCCCATGAGACAGTCCCGTGTTTTTCATTGCATTTCATAGTTACTCCCATGGACAAAATCCCCGCAGAAACAGAAGAAGAAGGTATAAGCTCTGGGAGGTGGAAAGACCTCATTCTGCTTTTTTTTTTCTGTAATGACGAGTCTCTTTTAGACCTTCACAGGAAGATAACATCTGCAAATGTTTCATCTCCTTTTTGCTTAATTCAAGTGACAAAATGTAGCATTTAACACAGCAGAGCGGGTTTGTGTTTGCCCCCATTCTGCTGCTAACAGCATTGAGCTCAAAGCGTAGAAACTCCAGAGAAGGGAGGCAGAGCCAGTCAGGGAAAGGATAGACCTGTTCCATGAAAGATCACAGGAGCACAGAACGGTTTGGGTTGGAAGGGACCTTCAAGATCACCTCATTCCAACCCCCCTGCCATGGGCAGGGACACCTTCCACTAGACCAGGTTGCTCAAAGCCCTGCCCCACCTGGCTTTGAGAACTGCCAGGGAGGGAAGCAGAGCAAGTTTCCACCCCAGAGATAGCTGCCAACCAGGAAGATAGTTCAGCACCATGATGACTGAGTCTGAATGCTAGCCATGAGAAAAATGCACTTTATCAGCTGTTCATTCCCATCGCTGGGAATTTATGGCTGAGAAATAGTTCAAGGCAAAGATTTCAAAAGGATTTCAGGGTGGCGATGATCATAGTAAACTTACAGCTTTGGTACCATGGCTGTAACGGTAGGGTCCAGAGCTGGACGCAGGACTCCCGGGGGGTCTCAGCAGAGCGGGGCAGAGGGGCAGAATCCCCTCCCTGGCCCTGTGCCCACGCTGCTGGGGATGAAGCCCAGGGCACGGCTGGCCTGCTGGGCTGCCAGCGCGCATTGCTGGGTCATGTTGATTTTCTCATCAACCATCAACCCCAAGTCCTTCTCCTCAGGGAGGAACTCAGTCTTTGACTTGGGGTTTTATTCCAGTTATATCACTCATGACAAAATCTCGTAGTTAACAATGCTTCATACAAACCCAGCTGTTAGAACTTGTTTGAAGTCAATCCAAACCTTTTTGCTTTCAGAAAGGGAAGCAGCGCTGTGTTGTTGGTACGACGTGCTAACAAAAGATCAATGCAAAATGACTTACAAATAGAAAACTGATCTGTGTCTCTTTGGCACGTACGGGTGTGTGCTCTAGCATTGTTTGACTTTCCTTTAGGACAAACCCACCCAGATTTTTTTGGGGTATGTGTGAATCACGTATTCCAGTAGAGTGGAGTTCTCTCAAAGGTATTTGCAGACATCCCTGTGCCTACCACATGTGCTCATAGCCTTTATGGACTCCACTGCCTTGCCTATAGAGAGGTGCCTGGTGGTATACGAGGTGCTCTAGGACAGTGCATGTAGCTCCAGCTATGGCTTTAGCAGGTCCTAGGTCTCTTAGAGCTCCCAGGTCTTTTATACCTCTTGTCCTGTGTCACACCTGGTCTAGATGGCTCAGCTACCCTACGCAACCCCATGGCTAGGCAAGCAGATTGGGCACTCTGTGTCATTTTTGTCACTCTTGATGGGATACTCCAGAGGCGCAAAAGTTATTTGCGTGTGGTGGCATCACTAGTATTCACGGGTTGAAGTCAAAAGGAACTCAACTGTAGTGAATTCAAGCAATGTTGAGTCGTATATTTGGGAAATCATCCTTAGGTTTTTTGTATTTATGAAGGATGAAGGCTATAATAATAACGTCCTGGTGAAACGCTCGTGTAGCCAACATGCACGGTGTGATGTCGTTTCCCTGTTGTGCAAATCGGTCTCTTCAGCTAAACAAAGTACTGCGGCAGCAGTACTTATAGGGGACCTAATATATACTTACAAATATATACTTACAAATATATACTTACAAATATATATACTTACAAATATATACTTACAAATATATAATATATACTTACAAATATCTGCAGGGTGGGTGTCAGGAGGATGGGGCCAAGCTCTTTTCAGTGGTGCCCAGTGACAGGACAAGGGGCAATGGGCACAAACTGAAGCAGAGGAAGTTCCAGCTGAACATGAGGAAGAACTTCTTCCCTCTGAGGGTGACAGAGCACTGGAAAATGTTGCCCAGGGAGGTTGTGGATTCTCCTTCTCTGGAGACATTCAAGGCCCGCCTGGACGAGGTCCTGTGCAGCCTGCTGTAGGTGACCCTGCTTCGGCAGGAGGGTTGGTCTAGATGACCCACAGAGGTCCCTTCCAACCCCTACCATTCTGTGATTCTGTGTGCATCTGCGGTGTTACCAAGGATGGCTGGTGCGCGGGTTCGCTTGGGAGGCTGGAGAGGAGGAGATGTGGTGAAGGCAGCAGTTGCTGGAGATATCCGTCTTGTACTTCCAGCTCCCGAATGTCATTTCTTATTATTTGTGCCAGGTAGAGCAGTTGTCACGGAGTCTTTCTCTGCTCAGCGGAGTGCAGCTTGTTTTGGTACCTCTGTTTTAGTCAGCTGGGCCATGAGAAAGGAGCACAGAGGCATGCGACATCACTCCAGCTTCCCTGTGCTAGGAGCTCCGTTCATTTTTCCTCTCCCCTGCCCATACCCGGGCCACGGATGCCCCTGAGAAGGGAGTTAGCGATAAAGGCAAACGGTCGCCACAAATCCTTTAAAAAACTGGATGGAGGCAAATAATTCCACAATGTGTTTCTGCGGGAAGGTATTTAACCAAATTACCCCAAACAGAGGGGGAGAGGGCAGCTGCAGGCTGGTGTCAGCGCTGGGCTCCAGAACTGCCTGCCTGGTCACTCCGGTTTCTCTGTTCTCCCCGTTTTTGGTTCTGTCTCCTGCAGGCAAAGCCTACGCTCCCGAATTCTACTACGACACCTACAACCCTCTGTGGCAGAACAGACCCCGCGTCTACTCCTACAGTCTCCAGTGGACCCAGATGAACCCCGACGCCGTGGACCGCATCCTTGCCTATCGCCTGGGGATTAGGCAGGTGAGGAGAGAAATCTGTTTTTGCAGGATGTGCCTTCTGAGTGCTGACAGCTGTGAGGACTGCCAGGCCTTTATTCTATTTTATTCTATTTTAT